GTCGTCTATCCTCAAAGGTAAAGTGCAAATAAAACTACTTTTTTTTTATCAATTATTATTCTATTACGGTTATTTATACATTTACAACTACAAAACGCATTTTTCAGTGTTTTCCTTACTATTGTTATTTTGTTTTAATGTACTACTTAGCTTTAATTTGAGTGTTTTTTTTTTTCATGTTGAAACGAATTATTTGGTTTTACATGTAATCGTATGGGGAAAAATGATTCACCTTACGACATTTTCACGATACGATCTCAGTTTCGGAACGGATTAATTTCGTATCCTGAGGTACCACTGTATTAAAATTAAAGACAAAGTTTGCCCAAAAGGGACCACCATTTATTTCTTGTGTTCCAGACTACAAATTCACGGCGACAGACCTTCGTTTATAGACTACATGCCGTCAGAATTTTAAAAAAGTCTGTTAAAGACAGAATTACATCCAATTGCTTTCCATCCATCCTATGGATGGAAAGCAATTAAGTTAGATGTAATTCCTATAAAGGAATGTGTAGTCTGGAACACAAGAAATAAATGGTGGTCGCTTTTGGGCAGACTTTGTCTTTAATTTTAATATTAATAATCTCCATTGGATGAAAAATTTACAAAAGTTCAATATAATTACCTCTGTTATTAAATTCAATATATTCCATATGCCCTCTAAATGCCAATTCTTGTTTTGATAAAAACATATAACATTTATTTATTTAGATATAATATATCTATTAGCCTTAACTATCTCGTTATAATTTTCAATNCGCGTAAAAATCTACAGACTCCAACTTTTCCTTATCATCTGTCCCCGACTCCGACTCCGGCTAAAACATCAAAACTCCACGACTCCGACTCCGACTCCACAGCCCTGGTTAACATCACTTCATTAGAAAAATCATTGAAATCGAAACAGTGAAAATGACATACCACGCCACCTTCTTTTTGATTGGAAAGTTACAAATTATGCCACCAATTACGTCATTAAGATATCAAAGTGTATCCATTGAAACCAGAAGAATTTTTGCGACATACTTTACCAAATAAATGAAAATTTAGGTTGCAGTGGGCTGCGGGTTGGACATCCCTGGTCTATCGTAACGATTCCGACTGAACAGTTCTGTATTCGGATTAGCTTCAGCAGTTCCAGTTCCAGCAGCAGAACTGGATTTCCCACCATTCTTTAACTCAATTTAACGAGCCGTTTCTGGACAGCTCTCTCCTTCAGAAAGTTGCTGACTTATGTTGGAAGGTCTGTTTACATTTTATAAAATCAGTTCGCTTATCCACAACCTTTGATATCCACCAGTGGCCGAGTGGATAAAACTGCCAAATTCTAGTAGACAGTGCCGGCAAGAAAGGAAATTTTTCCTGGGCCCGTAGCGATTCTTACCTTATTAATACTATTTTTAAAATTATCTTTTAAAAAGACAAAATATAGTCGATTATAAATATTTCATTAAATCTTTTTCAAATGTTAGTTTAATATACAGTGCTGTAGTTTTATTTAACATAATCATTTCCAATTATAGCAAACTGTCGGATATCGGATTGATTCGGCCGTTCGCTATAATCGCATAGATTTTTCAACGTTTGTCGAAACAACTTCATAAGTAGAGACAAGTACTGTTGTTAGTTTCAAAACGTGCATTTATTTCATTAGATGTAATATTGTTACTTTTAAGAAGATTTAACGAAGGTATAACGTTGGGTTTTAATGTTTTCTTTAGAAGCGGTTGAAATAGTTGAGATTTCAATCGTCTACATTAATTTTAATATACTGTAGTTGGAACGTGTTCTAGCATTTTGCGTTTTAAAAGAATCTTTCCATTTATACTTTTCCGTCTACTGTGTACTTTTTGCAAAACAGTATCGTTTGGAAATGAATAATAAAAGGGATGTAAGGTTTCAAAAAACGGCAAATTCCGCTTTTTTATGGGTCGGAACATAAGGGCGAATTTCGAAACTAACTCTCAATTTTCATCTTTTTGTTTTCTGGCTAGTTTAGAAATTTATAACAGTCGTCATCAAAAAGAATGACTTAGCCATTTTTGAAACTATACGCCTCATTAAATTAAAAATACGTTTTTTTCTTATGTTTTAGAAAGTATACATTATTGCACATTCTGACATCATAAATCTATATTCTGCTAAAAATAAACAATATTTATTTAACAAAACACATCTAACACCGTTTTCAACTGGAACTCTCTTCTGTCGCACTTCCGCGATGACGTCGGTAGTTATCGAAAACAAGATTGAAAACGCCAATGTTGTCTCTAATTTCCGAGACATAAGGCGTTGGCCTATCGTTCTTAGGATCCGGGATTCAATCCATCTATTTACCCCAGAAATTTTTCGTGGGAGGTCCGTCCTTGGCACCCAGTCTCCTCGGTGTGGGCATGGGAAAAAAAGGCTTTCTTAGTTCTCTTGGAGTGAAAGAGTTAAAAGTGAGGGAAATATTAATTACACAATGTTTATATCGACATTGTTTTATACTAATGATGTTTTGACAATGTGATTTTCTAACATCGTGTTTTTATTCGACCGTGTTTTCTTATGACGATATTTTTATCTTGTTTTCTATCATATTTCCATATTACGAATTTACGATGTTCTTGCAGCAGTATTTATTCAATATTTTCGTATTTAAATCTGCTACGCGTGCTTTTAGTAAAAGAAATTATTACAGAGTTCTATAAATTAGAGGCTATCCATAAATGATGTCCACATTGGAAGGGAAGAAGGGGATTATGACAAGTTGGACAAGGGTTGAGTTTCGGTGGATCTCCGTTTATTTCATTAAATTTTTTTACACTATGCAATTTATTATATTTATTTCAAAATTTTTTGTATGTTTTGTTTCTATTTATGGTAACTATTATTCATAAAGTGATAAAGGTTTTAAGAGGGTTCAAGTTTTGTTGGATGGTCTAAGAGGGAGGGGGTTACAGAATTTTGGAGGAACTGGGACAAGAGGGGAAGGGGGGAATAAAAATTTTAAGAAAAATGTGGACATAATTTATGAACAGCCCCTTAATTACAATATATACAATATTTATATATAAATAGTATAACTTTAAAACAAACCATGCAATATTTCTGTTTCTAGTTTAATTTATGTTTTTTATTTTAAGATATGTATACTTTCACAAAATTTTTAAAATTGAATAAAAATATTTAAAATTTTTAATGTTGTTTAGTCAACGACAAGTGTGGAAAATTCACCTTCACCTTCCCCAGTGGCGCCGAATGCACCAAAATTTGGGACTTTAGTTCCTAATAGAATATTTGTGGGTGGAATTTCAGCAAATGTAAGTTTTGGATAAAATTAAATGAGTGTACTAAAATCTTATTTACTGTAGTCTTTTTTCGTTAATTTAGAAAATCTTTATGTTTTATTTTTAATCAAAATTAAATCCATAGAATGACAAAAAATAAATTTGAAATTTTTGCCATTCTGTGTTAAAGTAATATCAAACTTTTAAATTCCTTACATTTTAGAATACTAAGATCCTATGCTAAATTCTTAATTTAAGAACTATTTGTCCTATTCCCTTTTTCTCTTTTAACCCATAGAAGATGGTTATGTATTATTATAACCAAGACCAGTTAATATCCCAATAGACTTTACTTATATGAATATTTTCATCCATTTAAAAATGAACATCATCAGAAAAATAGAACAGAATTAAAATAAAAAATCTTTTTAGAATAGAATTCAATTCAAAAAAATTTCAGTAGCAGAAGCTTTATACATACACTATAAAACAATTTCATATTTTTCACCAGCAGTGGTGTACCCAGAGAGGGGTCAAGGGGCACTATAATTGATTACTTATTGACTCCTGACCACTAGATTTCCAGATCGATTTCCAGATTTTTAGATTATAGGTAGCCCTTGGTTTACGCCGCAGTTCTGTTCCTGCAAAAGCCAGCGCAAATCAAATCAGCGTAAAATGAAGTCATATTTACAGTGAGGTATAGGGTTAGGTTCTACATAAGTGAAAAATAAGCAAATAATTTTGTTTATTAATACAACATAATACAAAATACATATAAATTTAATTTTTAAAATGTATTTTATCATAAAATAAAATTAAATGTTTTTACTAAAAAATTTTAGTTTTGGATCTCTTACATTTTTGGAAAAAAAAGTATCCATCTTTAATTGTTTACATTTTTGCTTTCTTTCATTAAGAATTTTGGAATATGGTCTAATGAATGTGATGATGCTCCTTTTTACATTTGCACTTCACTCCCAATCATTTCCAACTCACAAAGTTCATTTGCCAAACTTTCCATACCGTAGTTAAAAGGATATGCTTTAGATTGGCCGTTTTCATAACTCTTGGAGTTTCTTCTGTAGCTCTATGTCGAGTGTGCAGTTCATTCAAATCTAACAGTTTGTGGAATATTCTCTATTGGTCTAGATCTGAGCAATCCCAACGAGCCATGATTCTGCCATGACACATGGTATTGTAGTGGACTTGTGTCTCGCTAGGATTGGTCAAATCTGGACAAAATCTAGTCAACTCTAGCATAGGGATAATCGGGGAATTACTCGGCAAAACAGCAAATTGCGCATCGGTGTTATTGTGAATTGGCGTAAATTGAACCAGCATAAACTGAGGGCTATCTGTATTTAAGGCATGTTCAATGCAATAATCTTGCTCAATCAAAGTCCACAAGTACACCTTTATTCTTTGCATAAACAGTAAGTGCCATATTGAAAAGCCTTTTTCTGATGCCTTGGGGTCTTTGTATGTTGATACAACAAGGTGCGGTCTAATTTGGGATCTGTCAGTGTTCTGACATACATTCCTGATGAGAACCTTTTCTCCACTCCCATCATGTTATCATTCCTAATTACTAAGAAAATTGACAGGATTCTTCTATAAGCTATTTTGATGTTGTTTACCTTCATTTCTGTGTATATGCCATATGCCATTCAGGTCATGCGGGGTTCTTGGCAACGAGACCACTGACTGTCTTGCCAAACAGGCTGCAAAGTCTTCAGTTACATTCCTACCTTGTACATCAACAATCACATCAAGAAGCAAATCTTCATTCTCTGTCAAGACAGCTGGGACCAAGACACCACTGGTAGACTTACCTACACTTTCATTACCAAGGTTGACACTACTGTGATTCTTTGCCACTTTTATCCTAGTTACACCTTGACTCAGCTACTTATAGGACACTTAAAATACTTGCATAGATTTAACCTTGGGGAAATCCACAATACGATTGTGATATTCAGGAGGACCAAACACCACTTCACTTAATTTTTCACTGCAATAGGTAACATTCACATTAGGAAATAGTTTAATGAGAGCTGCTATTCTTGAAGGGTACAACTGGTCTTGCAACCCGCACCAACTCATTCACATGCATACAATGTTCCATCATCTACTCGCATTCATATTTTCAGAGAATAAATATCGTGAGAATGAATCAACACAATAAAACATAAGTGCTTCTACGAGGGGAGAATTTATAACAAGGGTGCTTGGTGGAACAGATGCTTATCAGGGGGAATCTACTGGACTCAATAGGGACTACACAAAGACAACTATCAAATTCTACAAAATATTCCTTTAATATACTTGGGAGCATACAGTATTCCTAAAACAAAGATGAGACACAGAAAAAAATACCAAGTCCGACAAATCTAGTATATTGCGAATTGTTAACAAAAATCTCCCGACAGTAAAAACTGCTCAAGCACACGTAACACGACGACATAGAAACATACCGACAGAAATGGGGTTTTGTCATATCTTTTCCTCTCCTTCACTCTGGGTAGAAAACAGTTCCAAATTCTGAAATCTCACACAGATTTGCTTGCACAGTCTTTATACTTTTTTCACGCACTTTCACCACCACTCTTACTTTCCTACTTCCCCATTCTCTGTCCACTTCCGTTCTGCCCTTTTTCCCCGAGACACACCCTACCATAAAACTCCCACCCATGGTTACACACCCCAGAATTACATAACTCCTCTCCACCGAGTCGGACCCACCACGTGGCGAAGAGGGGGCAAGAAAAGGCATAAGGCACAATATTCCTTAGTGGGGCTCTTGAGAGCACTCACTCTGTGGACACAGAAGGCAATTAGCCTTCCCTTGCTTTGTTTCAACTGTCAGTATATAGCTGCCTTTCAACTTTATATTTTAATTCTTATTTTTTGTCTTCTTTTTCAATCTAAAATTTGGTTAGTCTTAATTGTAAGTTTGATTAGGGACTTGCCTTGGTTTCTGGTTAGGTTAAATTAGAGTAGGGTTTGTTAGCTTAAGTCATCTGGTTAGGTTCGTCCTAGGTTATGGTAGGTTACTTTTTGACTCCTGATCATTCTAGATTTCCGCTAATAGTTTAGTTAGTAAGTTAATGTTAAAAAAAAATATTGGGGTCTTGCTCATTTGTCTTCTGTTGGTCCATTCATCTTGTCTAGTTTGTCATTGTATTCACTTGTGTTCACACTGTCTGTCTAGCTGTTAATAGTATTAAGATTCGTGCTCACGTTCAGTTTTATTAGTATTATGTAGATATAAGTCTTCCTACTAAGAGCCACTTGGCACTAACTTCTACACTTAGCTATTTGTGTTGGCACTCAATTATTGGTGTTCACTACACTCAGGTTTTCTTTTAGACCCTTCGGAGGACTATGGTCTTGCAATCTAAACACTGCAAACCAACATCAAACGTAATGGATACAGTAGCCATACGTACGCCGTTCAGAGGGATCCTACCTTTCTCTCTTCTTCTTACCCTCTTTTTTGCTGGCTAAACACTTTGTGTACAGTCGATGTCTTTCATATATGTATATGCTATTCATCTCCTTGTTATACACAAGTCAGAAAGTCCCTTTCCATTGTGGTCTGTTTCCAAGTTTTCAATATTGTTGAATAAGTGCCCTAATAAGTATGGTTGAATAACCATGTCGTATGGCTAGCAATTTGGTGAACTTTAACTCTACATCCCTATCTTGTGGAAAGGTACAATGGGCAAAGGATCTTCTAATCAGAGAATGAAAGGCAATCTTATATTTGTAAGGATCATGTTACCGTTTGGGTTTATAGTGTGATGATATGTGCAAAATGAGTTACAAAGATACGTTATAAGAGTAATATTTTTATTTTGCGTACAATAAATTGATTCTTTGGAATGCCAGCTCCTCTCAGTCCCAATACACAAGTATATAACCTGAGCCATACAAATCTTGATATAACAGGTCATTATTAAACTCTATTATCGCGACATTCCAAATTACTGAATATGATATTTTTACAATAAATATACAACAAACTACAATTATGTGCTTACAACTAACTAAATCTAAGTAAGAAGGTAGTAAGTAGACTGGAACAGGAATTAGAGTAAGGATAGAGGAAAGTGTGTACTCAGTTTTCAATGGTGATTTTGGGGTGGTGAATTTCCAGTTTCTTTTCCTTGGTTGATGGATGATCCTTGTTCTTGTTAAATTTTTCTTGAATGATAGTCTTGGTGTTTCAAAGATCTCTCTCGATCAAAGTTTCCAATATATTCTTTCTCAGGTCTTCTTCCATCTCCATACGTTGCCAAAATGCACTAGAGAGCACACTTTGTCGATCTGGTCCTCTTGAAGTTCCCACCAAGAAATGACCCTCATTCTCTCCACTTAGCCCTTAAGGCATCATTTCTTTCTTTTGTTCTCAGGATTAATCATCACCACCCAAGGAGAAAGAGTTAAAGAACATATTTATAATAATTTTTTATAGTTTTCTTTCTTTCTTTGTCTATCCTTTCCAGAATGTTCTTTCTTTAAATTATTATAAATATTCAAAAATTGTTATAAATATATATATCNTTTTTTTTTTTTTTTTTTTTTTTTTTTTTTTTTTTTTTTTTTTTTTTTTTTTTTTTTTTTTTTTTTTTTTTTTTTTTTTTTTTTTTTTTTTTTTTTTTTTTTTTTTTTTTTTTTTTTTTTTTTTTTTTTTTTTTTTTTTTTTTTTTTTTTTTTTTTTTTTTTTTTTTTTTTTTTTTTTTTTTTTTTTTTTTTTTTTTTTTTTTTTTTTTTTTTTTTTTTTTTTTTTTTTTTTTTTTTTTTTTTTTTTTTTTTTTTTTTTTTTTTTTTTTTTTTTTTTTTTTTTTTTTTTTTTTTTTTTTTTTTTTTTTTTTTTTTTTTTTTTTTTTTTTTTTTTTTTTTTTTTTTTTTTTTTTTTTTTTTTTTTTTTTTTTTTTTTTTTTTTTTTTTTTTTTTTTTTTTTTTTTTTTTTTTTTTTTTTTTTTTTTTTTTTTTTTTTTTTTTTTTTTTTTTTTTTTTTTTTTTTTTTTTTTTTTTTTTTTTTTTTTTTTTTTTTTTTTTTTTTTTTTTTTTTTTTTTTTTTTTTTTTTTTTTTTTTTTTTTTTTTTTTTTTTTTTTTTTTTTTTTTTTTTTTTTTTTTTTTTTTTTTTTTTTTTTTTTTTTTTTTTTTTTTTTTTTTTTTTTTTTTTTTTTTTTTTTTTTTTTTTTTTTTTTTTTTTTTTTTTTTTTTTTTTTTTTTTTTTTTTTTTTTTTTTTTTTTTTTTTTTTTTTTTTTTTTTTTTTTTTTTTTTTTTTTTTTTTTTTTTTTTTTTTTTTTTTTTTTTTTTTTTTTTTTTTTTTTTTTTTTTTTTTTTTTTTTTTTTTTTTTTTTTTTTTTTTTTTTTTTTTTTTTTTTTTTTTTTTTTTTTTTTTTTTTTTTTTTTTTTTTTTTTTTTTTTTTTTTTTTTTTTTTTTTTTTTTTTTTTTTTTTTTTTTTTTTTTTTTTTTTTTTTTTTTTTTTTTTTTTTTTTTTTTTTTTTTTTTTTTTTTTTTTTTTTTTTTTTTTTTTTTTTTTTTTTTTTTTTTTTTTTTTTTTTTTTTTTTTTTTTTTTTTTTTTTTTTTTTTTTTTTTTTTTTTTTTTTTTTTTTTTTTTTTTTTTTTTTTTTTTTTTTTTTTTTTTTTTTTTTTTTTTTTTTTTTTTTTTTTTTTTTTTTTTTTTTTTTTTTTTTTTTTTTTTTTTTTTTTTTTTTTTTTTTTTTTTTTTTTTTTTTTTTTTTTTTTTTTTTTTTTTTTTTTTTTTTTTTTTTTTTTTTTTTTTTTTTTTTTTTTTTTTTTTTTTTTTTTTTTTTTTTTTTTTTTTTTTTTTTTTTTTTTTTTTTTTTTTTTTTTTTTTTTTTTTTTTTTTTTTTTTTTTTTTTTTTTTTTTTTTTTTTTTTTTTTTTTTTTTTTTTTTTTTTTTTTTTTTTTTTTTTTTTTTTTTTTTTTTTTTTTTTTTTTTTTTTTTTTTTTTTTTTTTTTTTTTTTTTTTTTTTTTTTTTTTTTTTTTTTTTTTTTTTTTTTTTTTTTTTTTTTTTTTTTTTTTTTTTTTTTTTTTTTTTTTTTTTTTTTTTTTTTTTTTTTTTGCTTGTATGATTCGTATTCATACATGTCTCCAATATCCAATAGAGCTAAGTCATCTATAGTTGTTTTTTTCTTAATTTAGTTACTTACGTTACTCCTACCAAAGTCTTCCTAGTCCCTAACTGTAACTGATTTAGAACCGGCATGCACTGCATGTTATTCTTCGCATTGCAAAATGACATTGTGCATGCGTCAGGAACTTCTGTTTGAACAAACCTCATCTGACGTCCAGATCAGTGATTTTGAAAAGGTGGCAACACTACTTAGAGTGCTCTGGAAAAGTGTGTGTGAAATACTTACCTAAACAAAGTGAGTCATCCTATGATACAGTACTTCAGAAGAAAAACAATTGTTTCTTTAACCTTTTGAAAACTCTAACAATGAAAACTAATTGTGTTCCTTATAAACTTTAAAAATTAAAATTTCAAGGAAATAAATAAGGCATTTTTGCAATCTTTTGGCTTTATTATTGTTTCAAACATTTTAGTTTCTTTAAATATTTGAAATTTGTAAATCATACTCTTTTGTAATCATATGAGGTTCCTTGGAATGCATCAGAACTTATAAAAATTCATATATAAAAAAAGAGAAGTTTGATAGACTGCCTCTGTAGTAATTGTGTGACTGTCAACATCCAAGTTCTTAAGGGTTAAAATTGGCACATAACCAGCCTTTCTCAAACACAGATAATTCATGGGTAATCTATACAAAATTTTGATAAGTAAAGCATTTCACATTTGAATGAACATATCATCTATGCTAATGCAATCCATTAATTAGATCAACTAATTAAGGTTATCTGAATGATGAACTGTTACTTTCGTTCCTCAATAGGCCTCACTGTTTTTGCACTTTCCAGGCTGATTTCTGTCTAGTTATACAGTAAACAGAAATCAGAAATTATATCAATTAAAGTTAAAGAACTTTTTCTGAAATATATTATTTTGATGTAACAAAGAATCTTGTTTCATACAAATTTTTATTTCAATTAGATATAAATAGGCTATAATTAATAATTTTACAATATTCAAGTTATTGAAATTTTTCAATGTTTTTTTATTCTAGACAACTGAAACAGAACTTCATGCACTTTTTTCTAATTATGGCAATGTTAAAGCTACAAAAATCATTTCTGATAGAGCTGGAGTTTCAAAAGGGTAATATATTTATTTATATCAATAGTTAATAGTAAATTTTTTATATATATTGTATTTATAATTAAGAAAATTCTAATGTATAAACCATATGTCTATTGTACTGTACAGTGTATATATGCAAGAAAACATTTGGGCTGTATTCTGGTCACTTACCTCTCATCTCTTAGAGCTGCCACAAACTACAGGAAGTGGAAATTAGTGTATGCTTTGTTGCGCTCCAAAGCCTCACCTTCTTTCCCCAAGGCTATGAGCCATTTTTGCTAGGTAAGCTACGTGGTCATGAAGCAGCTGCAATCTACACAATATTTGCTTCAATAAAAGTGCTGCATCGTGATAGATTAGTGATTAGTGTTGTCACCAGGCAGGTTTTTATCCGGACAAGCCAGTTTTTAAATTTGTGGTCTAGATTAATTATTAATTTGTTTGGTTTTCGTAGAAATTGTGAAATTATGATGAAACAAAATAAATGTATAAAAATATTTGCAAGTATTTTGCAAATATTTTTATAAATTTATTTTGTGTTGGAACAAACCTAATATTTGCAAGTATTTTGCAAATATTAGGTTTGTTCCAACACAAGTTTCTAACTGGTTTAAAACTGGCATATGCATTGTTTAGTCCTTCGCTGTAAAATGACATTGTACATGCTTTGCTCTCTCTTGCTGGCATGACTGCTCTGTCTGTTGAATTCTGTCAACAGCAAGCGTACGCTCATATCATGCGCTAGCAAAGGGATAACTGCGCGGGCATGAAGAAAGAGGCCTTTGACATCATTAGGTGTTCTAGCATTTTGCTCTCACAAAGCTCTGTAGTTTGTGGTGGCTCTTAGAGACAGAGATGACTCTGGTTGCTTGTAATGATCTAATCTTTGGTGTTGACATCACAATTCTATTAGGTTGATTATACATGTTCAAATTATCTGCGCACACAATATAGTAAGTTAACCAATGAAATTAAAATTTTTGAAAATGCAGAGTGTGAAATTATAGATCATGGGGTAAGGAAAGCACGAGGTTCAAATAAAGCATGTAATTTTGCAAAGATACATTTTTGTTTTATAACAATTTTACAAAGTGTAATATGTCAAAATGTCTTACTACTCATTAAGTAATCTTAACAAACAGAAATTTTAATAGTCTAAGGTAGTTAGAAAAGCATGCATACTTAGTTGAGGAGAAGTTAAATGGTAATATTTTGAAAAATACTTAGAGAGATGGATGGCTGGAAGTAACAGATAAGATTAACAGCATATTCAATGGTTCAGTAATTGATGTAGAATCATTAAAAAAACAGAGTTAGTGGCATTCCTGAGCAACCGCTTAAAAAAATCAAGTGTTGTCTCTATCTCAAAATATTCTTTCCTGACATAGACAACATTCTCTAATATGATTGCATAAGGCAAGTAGCATCCAATGGTCTATATTGGATGTAATGAAATTGAAGTTATAGATGAAAGATGACTATCTGCTTGTCTGTGGAAGATAAGAGAATCTTTGAGAGAAAAAGTTGCTCAGAATCACATTTTGAGAGAAGCAATGGTTTCATGAAGCATAAAAAAATTATTAGTCAATCAGTGACCAGCTTGTGATGTAGAGATTGTGTCTCAAAGACAAGAGATTATGACCAGAATATGACCCCTGGTGTTTTAATTTCACATGATCATTATTTTAGGTGAATCAAGCATATATGAAATTTCTTTAAATTTGTGATTATAATGACTTTTTCAATTGTTATGTTAGTATGGTCATTTATATATCAGGATGTTAGAATAAAACAGATGACATAAGAAACAGTAGTAATTACAAAATTTTTTTGAAGCCATGAGCCTGAAGAACAGTGGTAGTCAACCTGGTTCCTATCGCCCACTATTGGGCTATTTGAGCTTTCGTGGTGGTTGGTAGAGATTTTGTCCGATGCTGAAGCTACTTTCCATTATCACTGCACATCTATGATTCACTGATGGAGCAGGTTGTACTGTAACAGTGGCCATCACTTGAGTTGAACTCGTTTTGTGGTGGTGTTGACGTTGCCAGATTTAGCTACTTTTTTCAGTTTGACGTAAAAAAAGCGCTTGGTGCATTGGTAAAAAATTATTCTGTATTATAAACATATGCCAAATATAAATAAAAAGATAAATTTAACTACATATTTTTACTAAACCATCATTCAAAAATTATGAGTACTTTGCAGTTGCGCTAAATTAACTTACTGCGGAACCAGTGGGCGGTTAGAAAATTTTACTACCAGCAAAGATACAAAAGTGGGTGGTAGGTATAAAAAGGTTGACTATTCATACTGAAGAGGGATTAGAAAATTACCAATCCAAAATGCATTGTTAAATAGGTGAAATAAAGTGAACTGTTTTAATGTTGGTCTCTGTTAATTGTGGATAATTAAGAAAGACGTGATAAATATTATTAGTCTCACTGTTGGAAGAAAAAACTATTTATAGTTATATCCATTCTATTTTTATATTTTTATTAAAATTTATTTTATTAAAGAGTATATAAAGGTTCTATATATGCATACATACACAACATATTCATACACAGAAGAGTTACAATCAATGAATATAAATTGGTCTCATAAATATCCTTTCAATGTTAAACCTATATATTAGGATAACTAATTTAATCTAAAATATTTTACTGCCTTGTCAAAAAATATCAATATTTTTTTTCTCACATATAAAAAATAATTTGGACTTACACACAGAGTCTTCTTCTCACTTCAAAAAACTAACTTAATTTTTTATTTAAACTCCTTACATCTGCCATTTAAAAAAATAATCCTACTGTCTTCTCCAAACTCACTTTATCCTCAAATCCCTTTGTATCTTTCATTCTTCCCTTCTCATGATTTTCTTTTTGTTTTACACAAGTTCTAGATTTGTTGTACATTGTAATTAACTAGTGTACAGCTTTTCATTGTCCTTAATCCATGTAAAGGCTGGTATACACGGTAAGGAAATCCTTTGAGGATTAACCGTGATTTTTTTTTCTATCTATCCATTTTTAAATAAAAATAATTCTTTATACGTTGGGAGATATTTTAATAAGTTTTGTAAATTACTATGTTCGATCCAGCCAGTTATATCCGAGTTTTTTNATTGTTAAATAATTTATACAAGAATTTTATATTTTTAATTTGAAAAATGGTCATGCAAATTTGATTAAACATATTTACAGATACAGTCGACCCCTTATAACACAGTAGATACGTTCCAGTTTTTATGAATCCATTTTCTACGAGTTCAGCCAATCGCAGCCCGGCACATATGCAGTTTACGGACTACGGCTGTTTGAAAGGTTTCTTCCATAAACTTCTATGCATTTGTAGCTAGAACTATTTTAAGATGATCATTTTCTTCCATAAAATTAATCGATTTTAGACTAATTCGACTCAACATTTCCAAAACACGTATAATTTTTTGGGAATAATCTGTATGAACTATGCTATAAACCAAAAATTGTAGGATTACTTACCGAGTGTGCACTGTTCGACTACACCGTTGCTCAAGCTTGTTTTCGTCGTGGAACAGCGCAATAGAATGGACAATATTTATGATAGGTCTTCATATTAAACTGTCCTTTTGTCATGACAAGTCTGTTGGGATTTTCACTGGTCTTGATGTTTATAAGTGGGCTCACAGTTATATTTGTTTTTTAAACATATTCTCTATTATGTCTGTTTTCTCTCTTGTCTTATTTAACCCTGCGTTAGTGCACTGAGTTTTTTTTCGGCATTAGTGCAGTGGGGCGTTTGTCCACCCCGACATTTTTTTGGGTCCATAAACCATGTAAGTAAAAATTCATAAAGATTTACTCATTTATTTGGTAAAGGCATGTGTCATTATACATATGATTATATTCAGGTATGATTACATATTATATTAGTACATAAATCCATGAAAATAAAAAACAACATTTATCAAAACTCATTACATTAGATCTTATTATTAAACCAATAGTAAAAATCTAAATTGTTTTTTAAGCATTTTTGTCACTCTGATTCAATAGCT